CAAAAATCATTATAGAAGAGAGAAACTATGGGGTGTATGTACAATATGGTTATTTTGTGGATGGACTGAGATGGAGCCATTAAATGATTTTTCATAGCATTAAGTAGACTCTTATAACAAAACCTGTCTCTCTATTTCTATCTTTCAGTCTCTGTTTCTACATTTCTTTCTCGTATATCTCTGTCTCTGTCTGCCTCTTCTGTCTCTCTGTGTCTCTTTGCCTTTCTTTCTGTGACTCTCTCTGTGTCTCTGTCTGGCTCTACCTTTGCCTCTCTGTCTCTCCCTTCTTGCTATCTTCACATCTTCAATATAATTATACTCTGATCTAGCCTGGACTCTCTATGAGGACCGAATCCATAAATGATCCTTCTGTGAAACTCCCACAGTGATGCACATGTAATAAAATCACAGAATCAAAGAATTTCCAAGCTGGAGGAGATCTTAGAGTTTACCTTTTCCAATCTCCATCTCTGGCCCCATTTAATTTGGAAAATGGTGATACTGAGGTTCAGATTGATTCAGTGATTTGTCTCTAGTCCTGCAGCTTGGAACTTGTGGCTAAGATAATAATTTCTTTACTTTCAGGCCTTTGTTTCAGTTGAGACTCAATATTAATTGAATCAATGAATGAATGAACTCAAATACTGATTGTTGAGAATAGCTCAAGTTATGATCAGTGGTTTATTACTGTCTTTCAGAGGCACTTGATGTAGTGGAAAGAACAGTAATGTATGTCAGAAAAAATTGTGCTTGAAACCTCTGATACTAGCAGTCATTTCACATAACTAGGTCTCAGTTTCCTTATCTGTAAAATAGGGTTAATGATACCTGCATGACCTACTTCACATTCTAGCTATGAGAAAAGAACTTCATAAACTGTGTTACAGCAATGTACTAAGTGAGCTATTTTTATTCTTCCATATCTTCCTCCACCTTTCTATTGTAGAAATCTAATACTTGTCACTCTCCTTTAATTTCCTTGGAAAAAGTACATGACAAACCCCTCATTCCAAATTTTACCGTTTTCTTCTCCATTATCCTAAAGTTAATAGGTCTTTCCTCTTCGAAAACATCTATAAGCAAATTACTGAGAGACCTCCCTTCCAAAATACTTTCTGTATTTCTATGCCTATTCTCCCAGAATCTATTCCAATCGAGAAGTACTAGGGCAAGGGTGGGGAATCTATGGCCTAGAGGTCACGTGTTGCTTTCTAGGTTATAGAGTGCGGTCTTTTGACTGAGTCTAAGTTTTATAGGACAAATCTATTAATTAAGGGTATTTGTTCTGTGAAGTCTGGATTCAGTCAAAGGGCCACATTTGAGGACTTAGAGGGCCACAGATTCCCCACCTCTGCCCATACCGCCAAAAGCACTAGAATGGAAATCAGGGAACCTGGGTTCCAGTCCTGAATCCTCTCTGTGACCTTGGTGAAAGAGACTTAAGCTCTCTGAGCTAGAGACTCTTCATATATAAAATCCAGCTAATTCTTTTCAGTGTAAAATAAAATGATATAGAGAAAGTGGAATCTAAATCTATGATCCTATTAAGTGCTAGATGAATGTGCCATTATTGCTCTAACCTTGCCATCTATGTTTTCCTTTTCATCTAGTTCATCTATCTGAAAAATGAAAAACACATAGAACCATATTATTTGAGTTGACAGGGCCCTCAGAAGCCATCTAGTCCAAATTTGTGTGATCTCCCTATCATGCTATTTGTCTCCACTCAAGCTATCATGCCCATCTTCCCTACGCAGTCCCTACTAGAAGTTTGAACTCTATCCTTAGAATGTGAGACTCTTCAAGTGAGTGATCTTGACCAAGATTAAGCCTCCGTATCACTTTATGGCAGGCTCCATAATATGCTTCCTTCTCCCTCACCTTTTCCAGCTCCCATTTGTAGTTCATCTTCCATCACTGGAATGTGAATTCCTTGAGGGTAGGGATTATCATTCTTGCCTATATTTATATCCCTAACAAGTAGCATAATACCTGACACATGGTAATTGTGTAATAAATTCTCCATCAGTCAGTCTCTCTCTCTCTCTCTCTCTCTCTCTCTCTTCCTCCCTCCCTCCTTCCACTACATACCTGACAATTTTACCTATACCCCATCACTGATTCTGAAAAAAATAATTCAGGGCAACTCCTGGGGTTTTTGGCAATATAGTCAGGAAATATTTAAAACCTACATACAAACCCTCCAACAACAATCTCTTAACCCAAGGAAGTGAAAAAATCATAGAACTAGTAGGGATTTTTAGAGATTATCTAGTCCAAAAATCTCAAATTACAGAGGTAGCAACTGAGACTAAGGGAGAAGATGGGGATTTTGCCAAGGCCAAATCTATACAACTTCTTTTAAAAATGTCTAATATGGGGGCAGCTAGGTGATGCAGTGGCCCTGGAGTCAGGAGGACTTGAGTTCAAAACCGGACTCAGACCAAACACTTGACACTTACTAGCTGTGTGACCCTGGGCAAGTCACTTAACCCCAATTACCTAAAAAAGAAAAAATAAATAAATAAATGTCTAATATGACGGAGAGTATTAATGGTGTCCAAATATTCAAATATAGAATTTGCATTATCTAAATATTTGACAGTGCCTTACACATAGCAAGTACTTGATAAATGCTGTTTGTTGAATACATGTTTGTTGAATTATGTAAATGTGCTACAGTGCCTTGCAGATAGTAGGTACTTAATAAATGTTTGTTGAATCTTTAACAGTGGTGTTATAATCATTTGGGGAATTCCAGTAGGAGAAACTCTTGCCTCATTTTGTTCTTAAGTTTTCTGGTTAGATCTAGATGCTAGGAGAGGGAAAGAGCTGGAGTCCTGGGCTTCTATGTGCAGTGAATGGTGGTGAATCTGAAACTGACTAGCTGGTGAGGAGGGGTGAGGGTACTTGAATGGCATGGGAATAGGACATAGTTTGGCCCTGGTGTGGGATATAAGACTAAGTGGGCTATGGGATAGTGGTCCATTTGCAATGATAAGGCATTTGAGATGAAATGCCAGTGTGAAACTAGGGCTTTTTTAAAATTTTATGAGGATGGTCTAGCTTGTCCATTGAATTGAAGTGGACAAATATTTTTAGATCTTTAGAGCATGGCACAACATGGCTTTGTGGAGATAAAGCTATCTTTTCATCAAGGATAAAATGAATTCAAGTCCCAACTCTGACACAAGCAAGTTATGTGGCACTGGAAATGTTACTTAACCTTTAAGTGTCTCAGGGAACTCTGACTCTAAGTTACAGAGAAGGTGTCCACTGGCCTTAGAGAAAGAAATTTCCTCACCTGGTAATTCCCTAGCCCAATGAAATCACAGGTCCCTTGAGTTTTATCTAATAAAAAAACAAGTTTGACTTGGAAGCAGGAAACCTTGGCTCAGTTCTGTCCAGGTCACTTCACCTTTCCCTGCCCTAATTTCTTCATTTTAAAAATGGGTAATATTTCTGGCAATACCTCCCAGGGTTGTGTGGGGAGTATACTGGAAATTGAGTTATTATTGCTGCTGTTATTATGTTCAAGGCATCTGGCTAGGTGCTGAGGGACATATAATGATGAACAAAACATGGTCCTTTTCTCAAGGAATTCAAAATCTGACGTGAGAAATAAGACATAAAAAGACTAATGATGCAGTTTGGGTTGGATGAAACAGCTCTGGGTAGAAAACAAAGTCTCTGCTTCTATTCTCAGCTTCCTCTTGGAAAGCTAGTTTATGCTTCAGGAACGAAAAGGTAAGGTGGAAGCTTAAATAATAAAGCAAAAGGCAAGCTGAGCCCACTAACCATGATTTTGAAAACAGATTTCCATATCCCTGCCCAAACATTTCTTTCTTATAGATATGAATTTTATGGTCCTTTTTCTTGGCCTCAGAGGTTCAGTAGGTGTCAAAGGGCCAACTGGCTATACCAGTACCAGTTACTTAAACTTTATAGACTTTGACTTAGACCAAAAGAGGAAAAAAAATCACTGTACATTACAGAGGAAAAGCAGTAGTAAAGACGCTATGTTATCTTCATGTGCCATGCCTAGGTTTTCAGTGATGTTGAAGAAATGAATATTCCATGGGTTGGACTATATGACCTCTAAGATTACTTCCAGATTCTATGAATCCACTGTATGGACGGCAGATAGGGAGAATATAGATAACCGTTCCCCATCTTTTGTTTTAGGATGGGTCTTAGGTGTAGGGTTCAAGTTCAACTTTGGATTAATTTGGCCAAGAGTCAGCAGTGGATATTGGTGAAACGGACGGGGCTATGGTGAGGACCTCAGTACCAAGTGCGTGAGGACAGGATGTCTTTAGGACCAGGGGGAGCCGCCTTTTCCCAGTGCAGGGCGGTAAATTCCTGTCAACCTAGTCTGAGATCTGTTTTTCCTCCTGCTTCTGCCGCCCTCATATTTCCAGCCACCCGTTTTGCATTTCTGCCTTAAAGCTCACGCTTTGGGCTGGCGGCTAGCGGGTGTCAGGAGCGCCACAGGGTGGGGAGGCAGCAGCAGCGGCAGCGGCCCTACTGACCTGCCAGCTCCCCGGTCGCTGCGGAGCCAAAGTTGGCTGCCGTTGTAGTGCAGGGGTTGGGGTTGCTTTTGCTTCCTTCTCCCTCTTTCTCCTCCACCTCCTGGGGAGCCGGACAACTGTCCTTTCAGGCACACACGTTACAATGCTCTCTGAGCCTAGAGGCGCACACAGCAGCCATCCCTCGCGCTAGCCACCGGCTGGGCTCCAAGCTCCTTGATTCTGAACCCACCCTCCCTTCCCTGTGAGCTTGGAGAGGGAGGGTTCTTTTCGCTCCACCTCTCTAGGAGCCCCACACTAGCTTCTTCCCCGCCTCTTCCTTCGCCCCTCTCTGGGGTTCCCAGAGCCTGCGAAGCTGCTGCCCCGCGCCCGGGGCTCCCTGTGGCGCTCGGGGCGGCGCAGGGCTCCGGGTGCGGGTAAAGAAACCAGAGAGGGGCGGCCGCTGCCTTTCCAGAGAGCCGGCTTAGAGCTCGCGTGGGAGACCAGAAGAGCGGGGTTTCGCACTGACCTGCGCGCCCCGGCTTACTGTAGGGGAGCGGCGTCGACGAGGTTCTGCTTTCTGCCTGCTCTTCCGCTGATTGCCCTGGGGTGCAGCTTCTGGGTCACCTTGTTCCTGGTAGGTAAGTCCCCCCCTTCCCACCCCCGCATTTGCCGCACGGGTCTGTGGATGCGAAGATGGGCGGGTGGAAGGGAGGAATCGGGGAGTGATGCTCAGAGAGGGCGGGGGATACACAGACCCATTGCTTGCCCTGCCCTCCTCCCTACCTGAGAGCCTCCGACTGGCGGGATAAAAAGCGTGCCCAGTGACTGGACTAGCCTTACTAGGTCGGAGGGGGTAAACACTGAGCTGAGTCCGGGATTGTGCGCGCCAGGTCTGAGGGGAAAGAACTGTGCTTGTGGCGTCTGGGTAAGTGCAGATTGTCGTGATTAAAAAGTGGGGAGGCTCAGCGGTGGTCAACCCCCTACACAGGTCGCCAGATCCCCACATAGGGTACTGCCAGCGTGTTATAAACAGAGCCAGGGGCCGGAGGTGGTGATGAAGTCTCAGCGCTGCAGCCTGGCACCCCACCAAGCATCCTGGGAGAGCTCTGGGAACTGGGTGATTTTGTTCCCCTTGAGTATTCCGGTCAGATCGAGACCTTAGGAGAGAAAGAGAGGTGGAGTCCTGCTCTGTTAGGTGTAGTGGGTAGTGGTGGGTCTGAAATTGACTAGCTGGGAGGCTGGGAGGTGGGGTTTGAGGGTACTTGAATGGGTCATGGGTCATGGGTCATGGGTCGGGGGTGGGAAGTAGTTTGAGATTGCCAATGGATATAAGACTAAATGGGACAGTAGAGAGTAGAATGTAGCTAGATGTGCTGAGCCAGACTCTGTAAGAGATGGTGGAGAGAGAGTGAGAGTAAACTAGGACAGGGCAGAGAAAGGAACCAAGACTGGGGCAGCAGAGAAATGAATATGAGGAAGGGTAACAGGACTGGGGATTTCTAACTGGCACCTGGGGCCAGAGAGTCTCCGGTTGCCAGATCAGTCCTGTATCCCACCCACGGGTAGAGCAGACTGGCAGCTTGCCCTTCGTGCAGCGCCAGGAGCCAGGCTTGTTAGGAGCTGTCCTGATCTTAGGAGCTCCTGGGAACTGCAAACCATTGAAGACACTTTGAGTGAACACTCACTGGCTGCGCTGCATCAGCCCCTGCGCTCCAGGGTCCACCTGTGCCTATACCTGTACTGAGTACTGCTTTAAAAAAAAAAGTTCCTAATCCATCTCTTACTTTGTCTCTCTGGCTTGTATTTGTACAGGTTTAATTGGGACGTTTAAATCTAGAGGTTGTCCAGAGATAAGCTTGTAGTGAAGGTGAAGAGAGAGGTAGAGATTTTGCCGGACTATGTCAGACATACTCTGGCCAGGTTATTTTCTTGAACATACCTCACTCTGAGCCAGTTTAAATACCGGAATTCCAGTTGAAATGCTCTTCCTTCCTTTTCTGAACTGTAATGACGATAAGTTTCTTTGGCTTACACAATGTCTTTTTTTTCTCCCTATATTGATATATCCCTTAGATATTTGATGACTTTCAATGGAGCAGAACAAGGACATGTGTGTGTCTGTGTGTGTCTGTGTCTGTTTGTGTGTTTTGGGGGGAAAGCTCGGGAGGAAGGGGAGTTCAATTTACCAATGTTCCTAAGTCTAGCTTTGAAGCCTGTTAGTCAAATCAAAGAGTACGTAGCTATCCACCTCTTCTGCATACGTTTTGGTCAGAACCTGTGAACTGGGGATTGCTGCGTCTTAGCAAACCTGCAGATCTGTGAGATGAACAAAACAGAACAAGTTTTATTTTTCTTCCAAGATAAGATTCCCTGTACAGGGCAGTGAGCCTTGGACATGATTTCTACCAAAGGGTCATTGTCTGTTGATGCTTCCTTGTAAGGCCAGGTGCATAAATAATCTGCAGAGGTGGCAATATGTCGATGCATATTAATTAGAAAAAGGCATTGGAGAAGAAAGGAGCTATAGCTAAATTCCTGGAGCAGGACTGAAAATAGGGTGTCCAGAGAACTGTTTCTGAATGCTTAATTGAGAGAGAATTTCAAGAAGATTTAGTATCTGTGGAATGGTCTGTCCTATATAGGTTTCCCCTCTACATATCCTTTCAAAAATGCAGTTTTGGATGTTTGTTGGTTGTGTTTTTTCTCCTTACCACTACCTGGAAATAAATCAGAGAGGTGATGAGTGCAGTGCTAGGGGAAGGAAAAGAAATGATGTGATCATTTCAAAAGGTTTCTTTAAAGTATACTGGTTTAAATCAAAAGGAAGAAAACAATGTAATCCTCAATTCATATTTTGGTAAAGAAAAAGACGTACATTTCCTTGAAATAGAGAAAATGGGGAAATGATGATTTAAATAAATGTGGGAGGAGAGGAGAGAGACAGACAGTGAGAGACAGAGATAGAGGCAAAGAAAAAGATAGAAATGGAGAGAGAGACAGAGAGACATAATGGGGGGGGGTGGAGATAAAGACAGATAGATAGACAAACACTTGGATCCAAAAGAAAGAATGCACAAGTGAGCAGTGATAGGCAAGTGATAGGAAAAGGAATAAAGTAGAGAAAACTAACAATAATCCATGCTGCTCTTCAAAGGGATTAAAATCCAATTCAGAAATCATCAGAGACTAATCTCTCCAACATTGAGCATTAACATCAATTAAAAAGTGTTTTGCTAGGCTTAAAACTAATGAGGAAGATTCTCTACCTAGTCCTTTCTAGGGAGTTGTTGTAATAGTTTGCCCAGCATGAGGCTACTCTGTGTGTGTGTGTGTGTGTGTGTGTGTGTGTGTCTGTCTGCCTGTCTCTCTCTCTCTCTGTCTCTGTCTGTCTGTCTGTCTGTCTGTCTCTGGCTGTCTGTCTCTCTCTCTCTCTGTCTCTCTCTCTCTCCCCCCACCCCGGTCTGGTCTTCTTTCTGAGGAGGAAATCTTTGTTCTTGTGATTCTGAGATTTCAAGCTTGTTTTTGAGAACTGTAGTTTTTCATTTAGAAATGCTTGATGTTTATATACAAAAAACAAAAAACACTTTGCAGTGTGACTTTTGAGTGTCATTTTGCTTGCCCATATTTAATTTTGAATATGGTTTCTATTATCTTGAAAATGACTGCTAATGTATTAAAATTTCTGTGAAGTCAGTGTGAAAACCTCCACCTTCTCGTTAATACAGATGTTACTTTTTACGTAGGTTAAATGTATTCTTAAAAGTTGTCAATCACATTTTTGGGGGCATGGATCTAATCATATTTTAAATGTAACATTTAAAGAAACCACCAGAGAACCATTTATATGTTTAATGATCACCTTTAATTTAACAGTAAGTTCAACTTTTATGATGTCTGAATTTCTTATGTGATTTTTCTATGTCAAAGCCCTGGTCCCCCACTTACACCTAATACACACACTCTTGCTCATTGAATGTTGTCCAATAAACTCTTTCATAAAGCCCTGCTCTAGTGTGATTCCTCATTCTTTGGGTTCCGCAGTATAAGAAGGTTCCAACTTTTAAGTAGTGAGCTCCTGGAGATAGATAGATGATACATACATACATACTATAGCAATTATAGAGATATTGATAGATATGAGGAAAAAAGAAAGAAAGAAAGAAAGAAAGAAAGAAAGAAAGAAAGAAAGAAA